ATGGATTTAAAAACGAGTGACACATGGAGTTGCCTACCACATGCTATAGCCAATACTATATCAACTGCATGGCAAGAAAATCACAGGCCCCACTTCAAAGGGCTCTCAGGTGCCAGGCACAGAGGTGCACTCTTAAAATCCCAACTACTTTGGAGGCTGAAGCAGGAGAATTACAAGTTGGAGGCCAGTTAAGGTAACTCAGAGAGACTCTGTCTTGGAACAAATAAAAAATAAAAGGGCTAGGGATGTAGCTCAGCAGTAAGAGTGCTTTTCTAGCATGTGAAAGGCCAAGGGTGCAATCCTCAGTGCCCTGCTTCCCAGAAAAAAAAAAAAAAGCCCTCAGGCTGGAGTGGGGAATAGAATCACTGCAGTGATGCATAGCATAAATTCCAGAAAAGTGGGAAATGACAGGACTCAGCGTTTGGGGATGCAATTCACAACTCATCAGGAATGAAGGAGCATGAAGCCCAAAGAGCTCTGGCTCCCAGGTTCACAGGTGTGAGTTGCAGGGGCTGATAAGGAAGAGGAGGACAAAAAGGCCACCAGGCTGGGGGATGAGACTGGTTCTGGTCCTAGACAGCAAGGGGCTTGCAGGGGAGTTTTGGGAGCCAGATGGGAGCTTGCCTGCCTAGAACCTCACAGAGAAAGGAAGTTTGGCATCCATGCAGGGGTGGGTTGGCCAGGCAGCAAAGCAGTGGCCAAGCTGGGAGGTGCCATAGGCCTAGTGTTTCAGGGAGACTAGAGCCCAGGCTGGAAAGGCAGGGATGGTCTCAGTGGAGGAGAGAGAGGGACCCTCACTGGACTGGGTGCAGTGTGAGTGGAAACCAAAGGGATCTTGAAGCCCTGCTAATCCCTGCTTGCAACCAGTGGTCCAGGAGAAGACTCAGGAGACAGAGTAAGGCAGGAGGACAGGGAGTGCCCCCTGCTGGAGTACAGGAGCCATACCCCTCCCTGCCCCGACTCATGCACAGGACTGTGTGCACAAGGCTGGACTGAGCTAAGGACACACTGGCCAAGGGCAGGCACATAGTCCTCTGGCTCCCGGCCACCAGGCTTACAGGTTTCCGGGAAAGGCTGACACAGCTACTCTGTTCCTTAGATCTGAGAATATGTGGCTAGGGAAGCCTAAATTAATTAAGTGATGCTGAGGCCCCAAGGCCCTCCTAGGGCAGCGCACAGGGACAGACAGGGAGGCCCAGGCACAGTGCACCCCCACTACCACTGCTGGAATCCAAAGAGGCTCATGAGCTTCTTTGGAACCGAGCCTGCACTTAAGTGCTTCCCGGGAGACAAAGAAATAATCAATCAGGAGCAGGCGCCTGGCCCACACGCTGCCACCACCACACCACCCAGCTTCTCCTCAGACACACAGTCTCTGGGACCGACATCGCCAGGAAGCAACAAATGGCAAAGCCCCAGAACTGATGTGACCTCCCCAGAAAAGAGACCTGGGCAGGCCGGTGACCCCTCCACAGCAGCCCCCACCACCCCACAACCTGCCCAAGAACCCTTTATATAATACAGCAGACCTCACCCAGACACTAGTGCTCACGGGCTGTCCTTCTGCCCTTTCCCCCAAATCCCATCCACCAGGACTACCCAGTACCCATGCCACTCTCCCACAGTGCTAGTCTAACATGGCACACACTTTGCTTTATCAAACTGAGGCCTGTGCTCTGTTCCCTGGATTAAACAAAAACCAAAGCCATCTCCCCAAATCTTCAAATTGTCTGTAAACATGAAAAAACAAACCACAAAACAGAAATGCCGGGTGTGGTGGCACACACCTGTAATCCCAGTACTTGGGAGGTGGAGGCAGGAGGATTGCTGTGAGTTCAAGACCAGCCAGGGCTACACAGTGAGTTCCAGGACAGTCTCAACTACATAGTGAAACCCTGCATCAAAAAACAACAACAACAAAAAAAAAACAGAATGAAGTTCCTACTAAGCAATGAGCATTGGTAGATATTATCATGTGAATCTTCTCATTATCAGAGGCTTCCTGCAGCAGGATGGCATGGTGATTGAGAGTTGGGAGCTGAAGCTGTATCACTTGCATTGGAATAAGTCTTCAACACTTGCCAGCTCTGTAACTGTGGCTAAATTACCTCACCTCTGAATCCCTGACTATAGATGGGTGATTTGAAGGTTGGTGAGAGGACAGAGTGAGTTAATATTTGCAAAATGCTTAGAACAGTGTCTGGCACATCTAAGCCCTTCTATGTGTCCAATAACTAAATTCTTTCCTTTCCATTCAACTTGCCTTGGGCACCAGGTATGTGCCGGGTAACAACAGTTGGAGTACCCAGTTCAGAAAGGAGAGGTAAAAGCTTCCATTTTGTCCTGTCCTACAGGGTTGGATGAGAAGTTCCCTTTGGCCTGTAAGTTATGCTCAGATAGAAAAGGTTCATGAGAGGAATCCACCAGAGTTCAAGAGAAAAGGACGCCACAGATACAGAAAGACAGAATGGGTTACACCCTTGGAGTCATGGTGGCAAGTATGAGCCTGGCCAGCACCACGGACAGCTCCAGTCTGCCTAGGAAGCAACTCTGTTCGGCGTCCTGACTGGGCTGAGAAGGTCATTTCGCTGAGTCTTTTGCTGAAGGAGGTCCTCATTTACCTGTGACCCTTGCACTTTAATCCCTGAGGCTAAAGATAGAAGGAGGTTGCCTTGTGATCTGGAGGTTGAGGAACGAAGCTTAATGTCCCCAGCCTACTGAGGAACCCAGTCCAGTACCTTCCTTCTCTTCTGGATCCTCATCTGCTTCTCTCCACTACCCTGGCCCTGCACATCACTTTGCTGAAGGAGTAGAGCAGGCATAATGAGGCGCAGGGAACAGGGAAGTAGGTCTCATGGCTTGTATTTAAATCCAGGCTCTGCTGCAGAGCTCTCAGGCCACTGGGCCAGCTTCCCCATCCCTGGCTTCCTCCTCCAGCAAGCTGGAGGTATACCAGGACCCATGGAGGGATGGAGAAAAGCAGCCCCCACTGCACCCATGGCACAGAGAAATGACTTAATAAATAAGTCCTCTTTCTGCCTTATAGCAACAGAGTTAAGTGTGAGTTCAGAGCCCAGATAACTTGGCTCCATTCTCAGAACAGCGCTGCATTAATTGGGCCAGAGAGCTGGAGAAGCAGTCTGCATCTGGACAACACTGGAAACATTTATTTTCTTGAAGACCCCACTGTTCTCCAGCCACTAGAAAGAAACTGTCTACCTCATGTCCTTTACTGCTCCTCCTCTGAATCAGGCAGGCAAAGTGTGCATAAATACCACTGCTCCAGGAGTATATGCCCCTTGAAAAACCTTGTAATGAGAGAGCTGAGGAGCCCAGAGGTCTTAAACTCAAATGACTTCAGAGTTAGGCAGGCGACATAAATATGTGGGGCCAGTTTAGGAGGGGGCTGTTATGAGCCAAGGCCTCATGCAAACTCAATAAAGGCCATCAAATAAGTTCATGTAATTCTCCCATCCAAAGAACCCCTCTACAGAGTCATTTATGTTTGAGAGCTGTAGTGAGGTCAGCACCTAACCACTTGCTAGATAAAGGCTGGGGCTGGGGCCCCAAGGGGGGCCATGAACAAGGTCGTCCAGAGCCAGGCCTGTCCCCTGGTTGGAGCTCTTGGGACAGGGTGGTTTGGCCACTGTAGAACACATGTAGCAGTGCCTTTCTGGGGTGTCTGGAGGGTGGAGAGACAGCAATAGAGGACAAGGCTGCTGCTTCTGACCCTAATGCCCTGGCCTCCATCACCTTCTCCCACAGCTGCAGCAGAAACATAAGCCAACTCCCCAGTGCCTTCTGCACCCTCCACCAGCCCAGGCACAGCCTGGAATCACAGCACCTCGCCAGTGGGACCAACCAGGCAACCAAGCCCCCCCCCACCCTGTCTTTCATCTGCTCTGCACCAGACCCTCAGCTGGAACAAGAGGATAAGACAGCACATTTTACAACCATGATTTTACTATGTGCCCTGCATGCATGCTAAGCAGCAGGTGCTGTTATTACTCCATTTTCCAGGTGTACTGACTGAAGCAGGGACATGGAGGAGAAACCACCTCACTAGGTGCCCTTGTTTAGTGAGTGGCAGAGCAGGGAGCAATTCTGCTGTCCAGCCTCTACAGCCCCTGGCCTCAGAGGCCTGCTTCAGGGCCAGACACTATTGGAAGAAGCAGTTGCACCTAACACTGGTTGGGGTTGAGGCCAGGCCAGGAAGGGAGACAACTTGTAACCTCAACACCACCAGCTCCACAACCTCAGCTGGTTTCCAGCCGCCCTCGGCCAGCCAGCCGGGACCTAGAACCCTCACAACGGCTCTGGAGCCTTTAGGGGGGCCAAAATTCTTCTGGGGATGCGGCAGGCCCAGCACAAGGCCTGGTGCTGAGAAGAGGGCTGGGGGCGCAGCGCTGTGGGAAGATGAGCGTCCCTCCCCCGGGCCTCTGATGGCAGCGGAGAGAGGGCCCCTGGCTGGAGAGCGGTGTGGCGCCCAGGCTGGGCTTCCTAAGGCTGGGAAGAGCCCCTAGACGCACCGTTCGGGTAGCCCCGAAGCCAGGCGGCTCCGGGGTTGGGGGATGGGAGGGTGGCAAGTGGGCGGAGGCTCCTAGGGCCGAGGGCTGGCCGAGCCCGAGCGCAATGGGCCTGGGAGGAGTTTGCTAGGGGAGGGAGAGGAGGCGGGGCAGGGGAGACCCCACTGCGAAGCGGAGAAAGAGTACCGGGTGGGGTGCTCAGGAGGCGCGGGAGGCTGAGTGCTGCAGGGCTGATGTTCGGGACCCTGGGTAGGGGCGTGGCGACCTGCGCCTCAGTTCCTCCGGGCTCACGGTCTGGATGAGCTGAGGTGACATTCTGCCCTAGGGCTGGCCGATGGGAGTCGGGCTCAGCAGTCTCCGAGCCCCCCCCTCCCTTCCAGGGTGGAAAGAGCCGGGGGCAGGGCCAAGAGGAGGTTAGGGGTCCATGCTCAGCGCCCCTTGGGTCGCGACTCCAAACTCCCGCTGAGAGCACAGATGGAAGCGGCGCGGCTCACCTCGGGGGCGCCCTGCCAGCTGTGCGCTGAGATCCAAGCAGAGGCGGAGATCTCCAGCCGGGCTGCTCCCTCCTCAGGGACCCGCCGCCGCGCCCCCCTTCCTAGTCGAAGAAGAGGGGGCGCTGACCCCGTGGGTCCTAGGACTGGGGGCACAGAGCTCTGACTCCGCCCACGCCGCGCCCATCCTCAGCTGCTGGCCCAGAACTCCTCCTCACCCAGACCCCTTCCTGGGGCTTCCAGGCCCGGTG